CGCGAGATGAAAATTTGGGAGGGTTTAATCAGTGAGTGAGTGAAATAATTAGATAATTAGATTAATTTAAAAAATTAAATTAAATAAAAGAGTGACTGAAATAGTAACTGATTTTTTGTAACCGAAAATTCAGTTACTATTTCAGTTACTACACAAAAAATAATAATTTGGTTACTAATTCAGTCACTAATAGTAACTAAATTTTTCAGTCACTGAATTCGGTTACTATTTGGCATTTTTCTAGTAGTGTGACAGTGACTACTTAAACCCTAAACAGGGAATTTAACAATCAACCACTTAAGCCCACAAATGATGAAGGTAATAAAATAAGAACAGTCACACTTGGGTAATGGAGACAAAAAATTGTAGAAGCTTGTAGAATGCCAACCTCCAAGAACAAGTGTGATTAACAATGAAAACACAATAGGCAATAAAGAAGAGAGTTTTGGTAAAATATCTCTGTGGCAATGGAGAAGATGGTTTTCACAAAACATGTAAAATATCTCTGTTGTCTTGCTCAGAATTCTTTTCTCAAAATTGATTGAATATAAATTGTATTTTCGAATTCTGTAATTGTTTTTTTTTTCATCAAAACTTAATTAAATAGAAAAATAATATCAGAAAATGACCGTTAGACATTAATATTTTCATGGATAAAAATCAGGATATATTCAAAAACATTTATTCTTCAAAACAAATATATTTTTTAATTTTGAACTACCATAATCGATTATCTCCTTAGCATAATCGATTATGTCGAAGTAAAAATCAATTTCTCAATTCTGATGTATCATAACAGTGAAAAATGTTATGTTACAAAATTTTATCACACTTGTGCTTTGAAGGCTTATACATAATATTACTTCATCAACTTGTACCTCCATATCCAGTATTCTAAGACTTTATCTAGTGTTCAGGAAACATCTTTAGCTTGCTTGAATCTTGAATAGAATCTTTATCAAATCATATCTTGGGCTTGCATGAGTCTTGAATGTTGTTGACTTGAATCATCTCTTGGGAATGTATGCACATGTTTCACATTGTCATCAATCTCCCCCTTATTGCTTTCACTCCATACTTGCAAAAATTCTTTGTTTTAGTTGGTTCACATCTTCATATTCACATGAGGCGTTAGATGCTTATTGCCTATCATTTCCACCTCTGTAGTTTTGAGCAAGTTGTCTAACTCCATAAAGTATTCCTTTAATCTTTCCACCAACTGTTTGACCTAACATCAATTCCTGATTATCTCATCTTATGTAGGGTCATTAGTATAGGGTCCTACCTCATATCTGGGTATGAAAATCTAGTCTTAAATTCCTCTTATTATAAAAGTAGAAAGGAATTAAGCTATTACTATATATTTATTTGAAAAGTAATGTTCGCATTAAAAGAAAGGCCTAACATATGTCTTCCTAGATTTTTCATTGACAACTTAGCTAGTATCATTCTGTATGTGTTTGCTAGAAGATCTCATCAACAAACATAGATCTTCCAAGCTCTTATGCCTACAAGACATTTTAATAAAAAATTATTTTATATAATTTTCAAACAATACAATACAAAAATATTGTTAATGTACTTACCATATGATTGACATGTTCATGTGTGCTGATGGAATCACCTGTGTTAGCTTCCAACCTTTTCAAAAGCCTAGTTTTTATGGGCTTGTGCACATTTGTAACAAGACATTAGTGAATTTCAATGTGCTATCAGGTTGTTCCAAATATGATATCCAATCCATTTTTACTTCTCCCTTACAGTTTTAGCATCCCTAAATATATCTAAAAGTTTGTGAGATGCTTTAATGTTGATTTTTTTTTTTAATTTGTTCTTCATGCTGTAGTCTTCATTAAACCTTCATTTGTAATGTAATAAAGATTTAATATAAAAATATGGATAAACTTAGAAAGTCAACAATAACATTATACCTTAAAATAGGTCCAATACTACTCCTTCTCTGATTCATATATCACTCATCATGTAGCATTCTTCATGTGGAGATGCATAATCAATTATGCAATACTATATAATGAAGATATTAATCGATTATGTACCCATTAACATTTAACAAAATTATTTTATTTTAATAATTATTTTGTTGACTTAATTTCAAAATAATATAATATAAAAAATTATTAAAAATATATTTCATAATATTAAGATATTAATTTTAAATACATAATAATAATTATAACAATTATATATATATATATATATATATATATATATATAATTTTTGAAAATTTTAAAAGTACCTAATGAATTGTCATTTTTAATTAATAAAGTTTGTAATATTGATATTATTTTATTAAGTTTTAAGAAAGCCATAGAAAATTACATTGTATTTTTTTTAAATTGATAATTTAATAGTTTTTATAAATTATTATAAAAATAAATTGTAAAATATGAATATACTTAAAAAGTATCAAAAAATTATGTTTAATTATATATACATTAATTTTGATTTATTTTATTTTTTTTATCTATTTTATTAAGTAATTATTTTATATTAAATCATATCTTAATTTAAATTTATTTTTATTTAATTTATATTAAGAATATTTTGGTTATTTATTAATTTACTTTATTATTTAGTTTTTTTAATTAATTTTATCAATTACTATTTTTTTTCTACTGTCTTTTTTCAATTTAAACATCTCTATTTTCCATTTTTTTATTTGATTTTCTAAAGGAGATAAAAGATAAGAGAAATATACATAAACATTATATTTTTTTTTGTAGTCATGACGATATAGGTTGTAGATACATATTAATTTGTAAGTCAAAACCACCTTTACTTTTATAATTTATCTTGTTTATAGAAATAAGGTTGAAATACAAATGGTGAAAGTCACATTTTTTTATTATTTTTTTCATTCTTTAAATATATTCCACGTTTTTTTTTTCATTCTTTTTTCTCCCCATCCTAAAATGTATCTCACATTCTTTCTTTCCCAAGTTAATAAATTTCCCTTTATATACAACTAGTAATTACAAAGAAGAAAACTCCTTTTATATATAACCAATAAAAATGCAGAGTCTACATTTTCTATTCTATTATTAAGTTATTTTTAAATTTTATTTATTTATTTTTCTCACCATTTTATAGATATATTCATATTCTTTTTCCAGTTTTTAGATGTAGTGAGGTTATTTTCCTTTTCTACACATTATCTTATCACACTTCTCTTTTTCTCTCCTCTTTCTACTTACATTTTTAATGTATAAATGATAATAAATATTTTTCTATATTACATATCTCCTTTTATAAATCATATATGATACACATCCTATTTTTTTCTCTATCCTCTTTTAAATGTATTAATGATAATATCTGTAAAGCATATCCCTTATTTCTCCACTCTCTTTAAATATACTGACGTTCTTTTTCCTTTTCCACTCCTCTCCCACTCATTATTATCCTATTACACTTCTTTCCCCTCTTTCTCCTCTTTCTATTTATTTTTTAAATATATAAATAATATTAATTGTTTTCCTTATATTATCTCTATTTTTATAAATCATATATGACATTTTTTTTCTTTGACAAAAAAAATTATTTTATAGAAAAAGAATATCATTTATATATAGTATAAATTATATATTTTAAATTTTTATTTATTTATTTTTCTCACCATTAGATCTATTTATATTTTTTTTACCCATTATATTAAATCACACTTGTTTTTTCTTTTTTCTTTCTACTTATTTTTTAAATATATAAATAACAATAATAATAATTATTATTATTACTATTATTATTGTTTTTCTTATATTATTTCTCTCCTTTTGTAAATTATATATAGCACTTTTTTTCTCTATCTCGAATAATAAAAGAATGGTTACATAAGAAGGGGAATATACTGTTTTATATATACTATAAATATATACATTCTAAGTTCTAATATACATCTTCTATTTCAATCTTGTGTAGTGTATGCAAAATCTCTCTATAAATAAATGTTATATTATCCGCATTCCTTTTTTTGTTAACTGCATTTTCTTTATGTTTGTCGTTTTCACTTAAAATAATTTGTTTTAGTTCACATTGCATATTTTCTTGCAGTAAACGCTCCTGGTTGACTTTCGGATGACACCTTGATTTTTGTTCTTAATTTAGTTAATTTTTTTTTCTCATTTTAAACTGAAATTTTCTATTTTTATAATTATTTAAAACTGGTCTGTTTTATTTGATACTTTCAAACTCAGGTTTTTGACCATTCATATTCAAATCCATTATGATGTTTTATCTTGCCTGGTTTCGCTTATATTTTAATATCTTCAAATTGCACCTAACAACAATGTAAAAAAAAACATCAGCAAGTGCAGACAATTTCAACTATAAATGAAATGGTATTTTTTATCAATTACATATTGGCTTTTGAAAATAATTGTTGAAAGTCTCACATCGCTTACCTCGTATCATTTGGTATGATTTAAATACATGTTAGGTTACTCTACATATTACCAATTAGTTTTATGTTGGAACCTTAACATGGTATCAGAGTCAAAACCTAACATCTCTCCCGTTATTATCATATTGCCCTTTAGTTGGGTCAAAAGTACCCTTTGCCTGGTCCGACAGACTTCGTTGGAGGAGGTGTGTTGAAAGTCTCACATTGCCTACCTAATATCATTTAGCATGATTTAAATACATGTTAGACTACTCCACATATTGCCAATTTATGCATTTATATATATATATATATATATATATATATAAATATATATATATATATAAATAAAGATCTACACATTGCCTACCTAATATCATTTATGCATGTATATTATAATACATATGTATAGATATACATCTACATATATATGCCATATATATATGCATATATATATATATATATATATATATATATATATATATAAATGCAAAAAAGCAAGAACATATGCACGGCTTATTTGATTATGAAAAAGAAAGAGCACAAATTGGTAATACAAAAATAGGACTTTTTCTTTCAACCTAGACTAAAAAATACACATTCTCAAGCCCATTTAGCTAAAAGAGACATCAAACCAGCTCCAAGCAGAAGAGAAATATTGGCCCCTAATCGGAGCCTACTACTTTTTTGCATCCTTGGATTCATAAAATCAGTGGCAAGAAGATCAACAAGTGCCATGTAGATTAAGATCCCAGATGAAGCCGCATTGAATACTCCTTCCACAATAAGAGCCGTTGGACTATTCTCATCATAAACATTTGTGATCCCTATGCCAATTCCAATCCCCACTGGAGTAGTCAAGGCAAAGAACAATCCCATCATTGTAACAGATACTCTCTTGAAATTTGCCTGCAATAATTCACTTCAAAAATCAGTTATATTGACCATTTCTACTTTTTCCCTCAAGGTGAAGCATGGAATTCTCAAACATATACCAAGTTGCAGATATAACACATAACTCATTTGATTAACTACATTTTTGTTAGGATATTGTTTTTAAAGTATTTTATAGGTACAGAGACAGACTATCAAAACTTTTTCTCATATGTATAGAGACAATCAAACCACTAATTGTGTCATGTGTGAGAGAAACCTTCACATCACACAAAAAATGTGTGCTGGCTAACATTAGTTCTTCCAAGTGAAAACATCTAAATCATTTTGACCTATAACAAATATCTTCCACGCACTTCATAGTTAAATTAACATAAAAGAAGGAAAAAGTTACACCAATTTGGTGTAAAAGTTATGTCAATGGTAAGTCATATTCTACAGAATTTCCACAACTTTACATTTCCACAACTTTGGTCATGATATTTTAATGAAAATGTAATGGAGTTATTAGAAGCAAGCAACGAACTCCCCAAGTACTCCATAGGTATAAACTATCATTGAGCTTTTGGAACAAACGGTTAATTAATCTGACTAAAAAAAAGCAGAAGTTAGAAAGCAACCATTAGTTATAGTATTTGAAAAGAAAAAAAAAAGAAAAGAAAAAAGAGGATGTGGTCCCAATCCCAAAGCATTTTGGATCCTCACATACATATTTTTTTATCAGTTCATCATAAATCAATCAAGACAATTCATGGAGGGGGGATAATTATATATAATACAGATACAGTATACCTGAGATATACAGCTTCCAAGTCCCATGCCTTCAAAGAATTGATGAAAAGTCAACGCAGCTACCAGTGGTTTTATTGTATTAGGACTCTCTGAAGCTCCCAAGGAAATTCCAATAATAACAGAGTGAACAATAATTCCCAATTCCAACACCTACAACAAATTGAAAACCCCGAATTCCAAACAATTTTCAACAATATCTGTCAAACTCCATTTGAGGAATTCATTTCATAATCTGTCGTTTCACGTTAAAATAGATTAACTTTAGGACATGCCAGAAGTCAAATCAATTAAAAACTCTTTTTTTTCCCCAATTTCCATTTTTTTTCCTTTCAAAGAAAGCAACATAAAAACCAAATGATAACAATGAATAAAACTTCTTCCTAACTCAAGCCTTATAAGTGAGTTTACCTATACAGTATGTAAACCTTTTGGATATATAAAAAAAAAAAAAACACAAAAACCATCAAACAATTAAAATAATTTCAAACTAGAACTGAATAGAATACCTGTGATATGACTCGATGACGAAGAAGTAGTGAGGATTGATCATCAGAGAGAAGAGGGCCATGTGCATGGCCATGCGTTGCATGCGTGTGAAGATGCACGTGCCCTTCGTGCCCTGACTCTTTCTCCAAATCCCCACTCTCATTCTGTATTCCCTCGGAATGATGTTTCTGAAAATAAGCAGTGGCATAAGTGTCCACCATGAGAGTCCCCATGGCAGTGCACATGGCCACAAACCCAGTGAAGGGGAAATCCCCCCACGGATGCTCCTTCAAACAGGGCGAGGTTAAATTTTCAAAAGCATCGGGTAACACATGGATGAAACCAGTGGCCAGAATCACACCCGCAGCAAAAGCCTTTATGATGAAGAAAATATCCTTCTCGGGCCTCAACGCAGGTATCACTTTTCCCAGAAGAGGAATACAAACCCCAATTGCACTCGCAACTAGAATCGATATCAAAGCTGCTATTTTGTACTTCATAGCTTTTCCTTTATCGTGATCTTCATTCTCTTCGTCACACGTGCATTCTGCTGTCACTAGGGGGGTTGGGAGTACAACCAGAAAGACCAAAATCAAACAAGAGAACAAGACTTCCTTGTTTCTCTTGAATCTACCCATGATAGATAAATCTTTAAACCGAGGGAAACAAATGAAAAGTAGAGTGAAATGAAGAAAAAAAGTGTTGAAGAAAGATATTAGTACTATATTTTATAGGTGTTCGGAACAAGCTCATATTTAATTTTTGGTCTTTTGAGGTTTAAAAACGTATTTGCAAACTCTTATTTAAAATAGGTTTGGTGGAATTATGTTAAAATAGGTTATATTCATTTAGAATTTCCAGTGTTTTATATTGATATAACAACAGTGTCGTGGAATGTCGACATGAGTACGTAACAACCAATTAAAATAAAAGTTTTAGTAGCTTATATGTGGAAAGTCCACTGAGAGGTGAAGAAAAGTGTGTTCATTGTGTGGAAACTAGATTGCAACGTGAGAAGGTGCGAAAGAGAAGGATAAAAAAGTATAGTCAAGTCAACCATTGATATTTTCAAATTTCCGCAATGTATGACCTACATCATTGAAAAGGGCCAACATCAAAAGAGGAAATAAATATATCGATATAAATTTTAACAAAATACGAAATATGAAGTCTAATCTCGATTCATCTTCTATCATGAAATGCCTGTGTAACAATCAATAATAATAAAAAAAATCCTTATTCCCATTTTAACTTTTTTTTTTTTAAATTTACTCGTATTTTCTTAATTTTTTATCTTTAGGTCAGATGTATTTAACATAAATTAATTAATTAAAAATTCAACCTTTAATTGAATTTAAATAGTTAATTTTATATATATACTAATAAATTGTCAGTTTTGAATATTATAAACAATTGCTAAAAAACTTTATGACAAATAGTAATTTTCTATGATTTTTAAGACTCTATAACCGTGTAATTCGGCTTAATTAGAACTATATATATATACTTGAATAATATTACAAATAATGTATTTAAAAAGAAAAATTATTTAAATAGATTTTTTTGGTTATTTACGTAACTATATCGGTTTATTCTTCATACAGAAAATTTAATAAAAAAAATAAATTTGTATGATATGATATAGATATTTTTCTGTATTTCTTAATTTATATTTTATTTTTATTTCTCTTCATTTATTTGTTAATTTTCTTTCTTCTTCTTTTTTATCTTTTTTCACTCCATCTTATTATTTAATTAAAAATAGTAAATTAAAATTAGATAATATAAATCTTTTTTAATTACTGAAAAAATATTTAAATAATTTAAAAATACTATCATTTAATATATTATATTAGAAAAAATATTATATGATAAATTTAAGAGGTTACAAACATTATTACTGTTATGTTATAATTATTAAGAAAAAACTTAAATAATTATTTTAATATATTTTTTAATAGATATTTTTTAAAAATTACCTAATCTAAATTATCATAACTCAAAATTGTTATAACTAGATATAAATATTAAATAAAAAATATATTTAATTAATAAATATTTAATATTTTTTTAATTAGATGAGTAATTATTTATTATGATAAAATAATTTTAAATTAATTATTTATTCTATCATAAATAAAATTATTTACTGTCAAAATAAATAAAATTATTTATTACTATCATAATTTTAAATAATTAGTTAATATTTTTTAGTTTCAATATTATTTTTAAAATATTAGTTTTAACATATTTTGACTAAATTTAATATAGTATCAATTAAGAGAATAAATGGGAAATGAGAAATGACAGAGAAACAAAAGAAGATAAAAAAATAATAAATGAAGAAAGAGAAAAAAAAAAAATTGAAGAAGAGAGAAGAAAAATCACCTATAAACGGTAAACAAGTCTATTTAGATAAATAAATTCATATAAATTCTATTTGACTAATTTTTATTCTAAAATATATTTAAGAGTTTATAAATATTATTACTTTTATAATTATTAAGAAAAAAAATTAAATATTTATTTTAATATTTTTAGTAGATATTTTTTAAAATTACCTAATCTAATTAATTATCATAACTCATTATAACTAGATATAAATATTAAATAAAAAATAAATTTAATTAATAAATATTTAATATTTTTTTAATTAGATGAGTAATTATTTATTATGATAAAATAATTTTAAATTAATTATTTAGTTCATCATAAATAAAAAAATGTATTGTCAAAATGGAGGAAGAGATGAAATGAAATTAGCAAATAATAAAGACAAGGGCTGAAAAATGGACCAGCCCCGTGGATAAATAAATAGAGTGAAGAAAAAAAGATGAAGAGAAGAGAAGTATGATAGTGACGAAGTGTTGACATGCCACTAGGGGATGAACCACCCTAGATAAGTGATGATTGCTGCCACTTGAATCAAAGTTCAAGATAAGATACTCAAAGAGATGAAACACTATAAAAAACCTCAAAAACTTGTCATAAATATTCAATCTAATTACATGAGATGAAATCTTCTATAAGGGAGACATAAAATTACAAAAGGAGACATATACTTAACCTAAACCTAACCCACCAAAAGTACCTCTAAGGATGTTGAGAACACGAAAAAAAGAGGTGTACTTTCTTTTGGTTTGTCCCAACCCTACCAATCCCGCATCTCAAGCTTCTTCCTCTCCAAGGGGTGTAGGACATGAAAAAGGAGTGTCCTACACCTTTGGGTAGCCCATGCAACCATCTTATATGTTCAACCTTTCTTTTCCATCAAAAAGAGGTGGTGATCCTCAAAAAGAAGATGCATAAAGTAGTCTTACAAAATAAATGCGATAATGAGTATCTAAAATTAAAAAATAACGCTAAGAAAATTCAAAGGAGAGTGAGAAAGAGACCTCCCTTTCAGTCATGCTCCTAGTGATCCTTCAAGGGATGACCTCTCAAAATTCTCGAGACAACTAAAAACTCATAAAAATGGAGAAAGAACATAAATAAAAGTTAATTTCAAAAAGATTGAATTAGACAATTGAGGACATTTGAAAAAAGAAGAAGAAGCAAATTGTTTCAAATCTAAAATGAAAAAAAAACACAAATAATGAACTGAAAGATTAAAATAATGAAAAATACTTGTAAAAAAAATAGGTTAATATTATGAATTTATTAGTCACCTCCTAAATCCTAAATATAAACATTCTTATTAAAATGTAATTATCTTATTTATAGACATATGATATAGTTATTATTTTTTTCTTAAAAAAATTATAATGTACATTACTTATTGTCACTATACAATAATAAATAAATATATATATATATATATATATATTAATTTTATATTATGATAATTAGTTATTTTATTTTTTAAATAAAGGTTGAAAAAAATGTAAAATAAAATATTAAAATATTCATAAATAATTTAAAATAGTAAAAATCAATTATTTTTTTCCTTAAGTTGTGGATACTAAAATATTACTGTTAATAATTATTTAAAATATTAAAATTTTCTTTAATTTCTTTAACAAACCAATTAAATCATAAAATGATATTAATTTTTTTAAATTAGAAAAACTAGAAAATCAAATTATTAATTAAAATATTTCAAAAATTAAAATAATTTATTAACTAAAATTTAGATATTTAATATTTTCTTTAATGAGATAAACTAAAAAGATAATTCCTCATTATTAAAACATTACAAATACTAATTACATTTAAAATACCATAATTTTTTATTTTATTTCTTTTTCAAAGACATAAATAAAAAATAAATTTCTTAAATTATTTAATTAAAATATTACTAATACTAATTATTTTTAAAATAATATAAATTTTCTTTTATATATCCTTAAGGAGGAGTTAATCATAATTAATTTTCTTTATTTTTTAATACTAATACTAATTGTTTTTAAAATAATATAAATTTACTTGTATATATTTAATAAAGAATTAAATAACAACTGATACTAATTTAGAAAATTTAAAATAATTTTTAAAATACTACAAATTTCATTATATTAATTTTAATAATGGCAAATATTAATATTCATATTTGAAGTTATATTAATATTAAATGATAAAGTAACACTTAATAATTTATTTTATTAATATTTTTTTCATATATGTTTTATATTTTATTTAAAGTTTTTAGTGTTAGTGTTAGTTTAAATTTAAACTACAATTCTTTTTAAATTAGGTCCAATTCAAATTGAGTTTTGCCTTTAATAGATTAAATCCTAACTATTTAAACAGATTGTTCAATTCAATCCAACGTATCGGTCAAGTAAAAATAATTGATAACCTAACCTGATCTATATTTTAAAATAAATAATAAATTTTAATCTAGACCGGTCCTATTTTAATAATAGACCAATTTTGGGTGATTAAAATTTTTAAAAATTATTTAAATTACAATAATCAAATTATTTTTTATTTAATGATCTAATATATAAATTATAAGATAAGATCTATTAAATCTCAAAATAAAAATTAAAAACTGATTCTTCATTATCATCATATTTTTTTAGTAATTTATTGATATAAATTAGTAATTAATCTTATGTATTAGATCTTGATATAAGTGGTTGTTAGAGACTTACTTTAATATTTACTCTTAAAATAAATAAATCTTTTATCAAATTAATTTATAATACACATATATTTTTTAATAAAATAGTATCACTTTAATTTTTATTTCAAAAATAAGTCTACGAGCTAACCTGACTTAAGCCCATATAGGCTATGACCTAAATAGACTGAGCCAAAATAGGCCTAATTTAATTTGGGTCATAATTTTTTTGGCTTAATCAGTCTTATTTTTTGGACTTTTTTGGCTGACCAATTGAGTTAAGCCTATTTTAACACTCCTAATTTTAATGTGGTTGTGGCTTAGTTCAATTCAAACCTAACTTTCCCAAAAATGCATATGCCTATGTCTCAACTCTTCCTCAACATCGAAGGCTCTCGACATAACCACCATGCATCAACCCCTTTCCACAATCTTTGACCCTTGTAGACTTCTAATCTTGTCCGACCTCGCAATAAAGTTCAGAAATCCTCAATTTCGAAGATGGTTAAGGCTTCATTAGGCCCCTAGTAGCATTTTCTAGGCTCCATTTAAGAAAAGGAGATTTTTCTTAAA